TGTATTTGCTTAAATGACGAGGAATTAAATTAACCTGCAATGTTCACTTCTATCCTTATCAGATGGTCTGACCCCATCTCATCCTTCTGTGAACATCTGGTGAACTGCTCCCCAGGTGCGGCGATGCCGTCCACAAGCTCAGCGTTGCACGGTGGTCATCTGAAGCCGTGGGAGTTCCTGGATAGCGCACAGGAAAATGCAGATGCTTCAGAGCAATCTTCATGAACCCAACCTCCAGTTTCTCTGCAAGCCTTGTGGTAGATGTCCAGTGGCGTAGCACCATCCTGGGATGGTTTTGGACGTTCCATACTCTGTCAGAGCCTGTTAAAGCCAGTGCTCAGACTGGTAAGTGTGTTCTACTTCAAGGTTGGTAACACGACATCTTTCTGCGCTGAGATGAAAAGCTGCCCTGTGGTACTCCTCAGGTTATATCAGAGAACTTCCAGTTGGAAACCCTTATGGAAATAAATCTACCATTGAGGCATACAGGGAAGAGCATTCTTTTAATCTCTTTGAACTGTTCTCCACATAACAGAGCAAGTCTTGAGACGTGCGTGAGCAGCCTGAAACCCTAAGGTCAAAATTCTCTCCAATTCATCTGCCAAAAATAATGACCCTCTCCAGTGTTTTGTTTCACTTGTGCAACTTGAATCAGATTTGTCTCGTTTTCACAAAGTTTCTGGTTTTGTTTTGAATTTATTTCTCCATACTGCTGGTCTTTTCCACGTATGACAGAGCAGACTGAAGGGGCGGTGTTTTGTTCACTGGCACCCCAATCAACATAGCATGATGGTATCATTTTCCAGTACAGTTAAATTTATTACACTACGGCCCTATGAAAGGGTTTGACATGCTTTCAGCTAGTTAAAAAGCAGTCAGATGGGATATGAAAACCACAGGAGTCAGGAAGAAGTTAATAGTCTGTGAGTGGGCCTTATCTCTCTGGCTTACACTTGGTTTCAAGGGGAACCAAATACAACACATTTGGGAACCCAATGCAAGAAGTGACCTGGGTTGGGCTTCACACAGGAGCAGAGATTTCTGGTCTGGTTGCCACTGATGTTAGATCAGTGTTTGTTGCTTTGGTACTTTGTAAGATGTAGAAGAAACCATAAAGAATTGTTCATGACCTGGGGAAGTGATGTGTGTGAATGGTGAGCTTTAGCTCTCTGAAAAGGAAAAAAAAATCTACCTCCTCTGTATTGTAAGGCAAATGATCTCAGAATTAAAGATACTTCAGGCTGACAGTGGCCACTAGCAGGAACTGCTAATTTTTGCACAAACTTGGGGCTGCAGTGAGTATCTGTTAGGACAGTCCCAGCATGTAACTCTGCAGAAACATCTCATGTGGAGCAGGGATTAGATTTATTGTCTAAGCAGCCACCTTGTACAGGAGCTCGATCAATCGGCTAATGCACACGTCATGGCTGCTTTTCATTTTGCTTCTTTCAAAATGTACAGCAACACGTGTATGGTGACTGCAATTTGAGTAGTGCTGCTTCCTCAGAATTGCCTTTTCACTGCCATCTAATCAAAAATCTTTATTCTCTGATGCTAAATGCATTTTAAATAAACAATAATCTTTCAACTCTTAGCTACCGGTAAAATATCTTACATTAATGAAATTATAAATAGCAAGTGCCAGTTCTATGCCAGTTGTAACAGCACAGAAAAGAACACATTGTGAAGGAAAATGCACCAGGTTTTTTTTTCCACCCATTTTTTTGGTTTTATAAAGCAAATGCTTGTGAAAAAGATACTTCTGGTTTCATAGTTCTTCAATTCAAATACAACTGTCATTTAAACCTCTACTATTATTTAATCACACACCCTGGAAAATACATGCAGGCACGCATCCATGGGGGCAAAAGGTGTACGGCTGACCTGTTTTCATGTCTTGCTGTCGTGACTGCATAGCAAATACAGTAAATTTTTTGCATAAGCAATTCTGAAAACATCATCCATAGTTCCTCTTTAAAATGAGCCTGTTACCAAAGAACTAGTTTATCTGAAAACAGCAGTCAAAAGACAAGATGGCTTCAGTTTTCCGAAAGATTTTAGTTAGCTGAGGAATCGATATGCATACGCTTTGCTAATGTGAACCTTAGACCACCAAACACTTTACAAGACTACACCAAATGAAATTCAGATTGAAGTGTAGAAGACATAATTACACAGGCATCTTATTTTCAAATTTTGTTTAAAAATAAACTGCATAACTTTTAATAAATGTTTAGAAACTTCCCATTCTGCTCTGACTTGCACAGAAGCACAGGTCAAAGACTTCGAGATAGAATTAAAATTGTCTTTACTGTTGCTGCATTTTTAAAGTGATTTAATTTTGTTTTGAAGCATTTCCCCAGTGTGTGCACCGAGTTTACTAACACTGTCCTGACCCTGGAGATGGTGTGATATTTTATGGTGTGCAGTGACATTTGTGTGCCCCACTTGGCTCCAATAAATAGGTTAATTTCCACAAATTATATGCCAGGTTTGAAACATTACAAGGCGATTAAATGATTCTGTATTGGCCTTTTGGATTCGCAGTTGGGGCAGTTGACTGTGCAGTCCTTTGTCAGCTGCAAATCTGCAACTTATACACCGTGATTTCAGGTATAAACGGTCAAACTAAAAGTGCTGGGGGATTCAGGTTTGTAGATTCACATATTCTCGAGCACCAAGCCCCAAATACATTGATCAATGAAGAACTGACAGATTTACGCTGGAGGAATGAGTTAAAATTTGTAGTGTGTGGGATGTGTAAGTAGTACACATTAGGCTGTATCGAAGTATCTCCTAAAGTAAAGGTACCTTAAATGATGGAAAGTAGAATTTAAAAACCTTACTGTTAGTACAAAGTTAAAATTCAGACACTGGGAATAAGATTCAGAAATGTCCAAGTGTAGATGCTGGACAAACAATTTTGGTTTTCAAAATCAAACTATGACCCAAATGGATTTGGATTTCACTTCATACAAACATCTTCTGTATATTAGGTGCCAGCTTTGGTTCTTTAATAAAATGTTTTTTAAAAAACAGTGGTCTTGAAGCTCCCCTTTGATTTGGCCTGAATTCATGTCAGTTTGTTGCTACTAAATTAAATATTAATCTTTACCATACCTGTTTATATAAATCAGACAAGAATAAGAGGATCTATATGTGACCTTAAAATGAACCAAAGAACCATGTGATTAAAATAGAGATACAAACCTAGCAATGACAAGAAAGTACCCTGATTTAAAATACTGTCCTTACAATAATCTTACTTGTTCAAAGAGCAGTTTATATTATGTTAACGGCAATTTACATTTCCAGAGTCTGATTCCAAGTTATTCTTTATTCTGGTTTTTAAGTAATGTGTCTGAAGTTACTTTTGCTGTGTATTCTCATTCCTGGGAAATCTTTCCAAAGGATATGAGTCACTTCTCCATTATTTGTAAAGAATATGGAAAAAGTAAAATATTGTTATTTTGTGGGTATTTGGAACTGGATGTGAAAAAAAAATAGATGGGATGTTGATCATTGTGAGTCATTTCTTGGGAAGAAGGAAAGACAAACACTAGCTGCTGACCTACTGCGATGACAGCCAAGGACTTACTGCTGACTCAAGAAGTAGCTGGTGAGAGCTGCAGAATACAAAGGAGATCTTGCAGCAAGACTGAAGGGGAAAGTCTTTCCTTCTTAAGTAATAAGGAGTTATACGGAGCTGCCTGTGTTCATTTCTTGGAGGCTGTTGTTTGTTTAAACAATCTTCTAGTTTAAACACGTTAGCCAGTTAGAACTGTATCCTGTGAACAGCTGCTACAACTAAATGAGTCTCCTTCCAAGTTTCCAAAAGTCCTGGCAAATCTTCAGGTAGGTAATGAAGTGCAAGGCTGAACTCCATAGCACTGAGGTAGCTACACCAGTAACTCCCAGTGCAATCCCCTGCTGGTTGTAAATGTTGGTATAAACAAAACTAAAGGAACACAAATACTTTGTAATACATTCACATTCTGATCAACTACTTGAAAGAAAACCCCTGTCTTGATACCAGAACTGATTTTGGAAAGCAACTTTGCGTCATTGTGGCCTTTGTATACTGTATTTATACCATTTATTTCCAGTTGCACTGGAAACTGCTCAGTTACTTACATGTGTAACTACACAAACTGCCTGTGAAACACACACAACACAAAAGACAATGCATTTAATAACTATGACTTAACTACACTTGTGATTTTCCTAGTTTATTTCAAGCTGCAGAGAACACACTATGATGAAGCCTGGTAATTATCTTTTCTGCAGGTGTTGCTTGTTTGCTGTTTTTTGTTTTTTTAATGAGGAAAGCTTCTTTCCAAATGCAAGGATGCAGTTCCATGGCAGCTTGAGCCAATATAAGTCATGTCTGCTACTCCTGTCTGCCTCTTCTCTTTGTCTGTACTAAAGAGATTTTTTTTTGCTAGCACAGGCACTTGAGCATCTCAATAGTGGGCCAGTTCAGAGTGCTGATTGCAAACGAATCTGAAACACAGGTTCCAATATGGGAAAGTGATGAATTGGGAATGAGCAGCAGGGTAGGATTGTTAGGAACGTGGAAATCTGTATTTATGTTTGGAAAAGCTGCTGTGAAACTGAGTCTGAATGGAGAATCAGTTATAAAAATGTGCTGTCATTTCAAAAGAAGTTTAAGACTTCAAATAAATACTTCAAAATCATAGTCTTACTAATACTAATAAAAGTAGTACCTCCTCTGTGATCTGTATGAGTTTATTAATTGTTACTTCTGTGTAAACCTGAAGCAGTGTTAACAGCTTGGGTGCCATAGATTTCAAACAATCAGTAACAAGTAAAATGCTACATTAAAATGTTTACACTTTACCAAAATGATTGTAGATGTTTACACAGATCATTTTTAAAGCACAGATGTTTAACAGTCCACTACAGAATGTTAACTTAGGGATGCAAACGGATCTATGTTTGCCTAGCTGTTATTTCTTAATGTCAGTCAGAGGGCTCACGTGGCCACTTCAGATTCTTAAAAAAGGTGCCTTTGCAGCTCTGGATTTGAAAACCACGCTCAAGTCCCAACTCTGGAACAGCTGATCTCCAGCCAATAAATCCCTGGGTAGTCTTAGGTACTGGAGGAGATGGAATCACCTAGAATAAAAGGAACATGTAGAATTCAATGATTAAAAGGTTTTTGATTGGGATTTGTCATGCAACGTCCTCTTTTGTGCTGTAGTGTGGATGAAAATGAGAATTTCTAAAAAATAGTAGTTTAAAATGCAATCTGCTGCATTACAATATCCTGAACACACACTGACATTAATGGAAGGAAATAAGAACTTCGAAAGATTACCCAGTTGCATGCAAGTTCAATTTATAACACAGGATAGTTTAAAATTTAAAACACTGTTAGAATAATTTAGGTCCCATTCTATAATAAGGCACAGGGAAAGCGAGAGGTAAAACAGCCAAATTCTAATGAAGCAACTAACTTTGATTTACCACCCTTCTGAAAAAGAAAAACTCTTTTAGTGCCCAAACTGGTATGTATAACAGGCAATCAAAAAGCAAAGTTATTGTTTAGTAGTGCAAGGTAGCATACTTTTTGTAAAAAAATTTTACTCAATACGTTGCTAAGGGCTTTACTGGCTTTACATTATTAGGAGAAGAATTTTATCTTCAGATTTAGCTTTAATAATAATAATAATAATAATCTTGAGAACTAGTTAACTTCTCTAAACAGGCAAAATAGCATTTTATACTTGCTGTAATGTATTTGATAGCAATGCAGCTATGGAATTATAGTTTTGTGGCTAAATGCTGAAGATATTACTGACCAAGCTGGCTTTTGCATCATAACCTACTTGCTTGTTCCACTTTCTTTCTACTTTAAAAGATGGGTAAGCATCAAGTTAATCTGCAACTAATCAAGCTAAAAAGGAAGCAAAACAAAAGCCAACAGTCTCTGTTCACTGACTGCTGTGCTTGCTTTGGCTGAATCATCTCAATTGGGCACGTTATATCATTTTAGCATCTGGGGACTTAGTAGAGAAATACACAGCAAGAGAACAATGTTTCAGTTCTCTTGCCAGACTTGCTTCACTTTGTTCTTTGGCCAGGATTAGAAAATGTTTATGATATTTAGGTGGAGCAGTTCCTCTGAAAAGATAATTTTTATGGCCAAAAGTGCCACCCACTGAGCAGAATAATGAAGAAAATCATGTCCCACTTATGATCTGGGGGAAGGGACTATGAAGAAGCAATTTAACCTAGAGAGAAGAACAGATACGATGACTGTTACCGTGAAGGAAAATGTGCAGAAAGACATATAGTTCTGAGTAAGACACTTCACTGTGAAAATGTAAAGGGTGACCAAAATCACAGCTAGCCCTTGTCTTCCGTAGCAAATAAAGATTCTGAGGTAAAATTGAAAAAATAATCCCTGTTTCAGTACGCACCAGGCTATGCATGTCACTTTAACAGCTGGTAACTGCATGATTTGTTAACACACATACACCCTTACTGCTGAAGCAGAGCTAAACTTGACTGAAATTGGAAGCCTGAGACAGAAGTGAAGAACAAATAGCACTAGTGGCAGAAATGCTGTCATTTCATTGCTCTGCCACAGTCAGCACTAGCTCTTAATTTTTGTTTCAATTTAATCTCAGTAAAAGCTTTTACTACTTCCTCACTTTATCTCCCCACCCGTGGAATCCTTTGAAAGCAAGCTAGTTCAGCAAGTAGGAATTTCCCATCTCTTTTGGTTCCTTAATCTTCTCTAAGTGGACTAACCTTCCTTTTGGTTAGCACATTCTGCTTCCCTTTTATGAATATGTTCCTCTCCCCATGTCTCTGGTTTAGTTGCCTGTACAGTTACCCTATTCATTGGTGATTCTGACACTGTATATTTATAAATCAAACCATCAGTCACATTCCACTCTTATTTCCAGCTGTTTGACAACTTTTAGACTCTGAATATGTGAATATAAATCAGATAGTATAGAATCAAATAGGTATGAATTGGCTCATTAGAACTGGCTTCTTACTGATTTGTGGCACTAAATGGGACAGTGGCATTGTCTCTGCCAAAAAGTCGGCTGTCTTAAATAAATCCACACAAATCACTGCATCTTAACTCACAGTTAAAACTAGGCATTAAGGTTATGATAAGCCTTGAAGTAAGACATGTATATGTATATTATGAATGGTCAGCAGTCATAAATGTCTCTGCCAGCACTCTTCTGTACTAAGCTGTGCAGCTGACTGTTCTGTTACTGGATGTCACAGAGGAGTGCATGGGGGAGGTGCTTTACAGAAAGATGGTTATGTAGAGTGAAAGCTCTGAGAACTAACAACCATATCCAAAGGGCAATTCCTTGTCTTAAATGAATGCTTTTAAAGCATTGCTTGGGTTGCAAATACAATTTACTTTGACCTTTAGTTAAAGGCCCACCTCTACAAGACAACTGATTTTTAAAGCTTGTGTGGTTTCTTAAGACAAATATTGCTGTATTGCAATTTTAAAATGTAATTTTCTAACCTTAATGTATTTTTCCAAAGGTGTCACAGGTCGAACCTGCAGATGTTCTGGAAGCTCTATCTTGGGCTTTGTATTTTCTTTCTTTTCATCTTCAGTCAACTAAAACCAAAATATCAAAATTAAAAATTGGACTCTCTCTTTTGAAATATGCTGTAATATCAGATAGCTACACCACTCCCCTCATTGTTGCATCTGAACACTCTGATCTTTCTATCTAAACCAGGACTACTTATTTATTGTGCTTTGGCAATTATTGTAACGTAGTTCTGAATTTCAGAAGAAATTACAAGTATTGCTGAGTGATTCCACCTCTTAACTACATCACTGGTCCAAAAAGGGCTAGAAATACATCTTACATATATCTTATCTAACCACAAACCAAAGATTAATGAATGCTAAATACACATGTTCACTAACAGTAATGATGCATTGTATGTCAACTTTTCAGCTGTAAATCTATTAGTTCTGTGCAAAGGTCGTATGCATGACAGATCATAGTTATCAGGGATGCATGTTGAAGCCCAGAGGATGGAAGTTTTCAAAGCTGCTAACTTGGATGCCTACAGGAATTTTCAAAAAAATCCTAGAACAGATTAAATACTTCTAACCCCATGGAAAGTACATTTATAACTACTCAGGGGCTGCATCAATCCTATTCTTTAGCAATGAAATACTGTTATTCCACACGTAACATTATGTGCTACTATATTCTATATCTCAATATCACTGAGAATAGACATATCTCCAAATATTTTTATTTGTTGTGAACGCCCCCTGCTGAAAATTTAACTAGCTAGAACCATTTCCCCTTGATTTTTAAACTACCATATGGATAGACAAAGGGCAAATATTTTCCTGTCAGTGTGCATCTAGTACTTGTTAACACTACTGGGAGTCATGTTTCTCAAGAGAAATATATCAGAATATGCATAGCATATAAATTACCACTTGCCGTATTTTATTCAGAGGAAAACTGAAGCTTTGAACCCATCTTAAAAGTACTGCACTTGTTCCCTCAGAACCTATCTTAGTAAACTGTACTCAGTACTTTTCTAGTCTTCTGTTCTCTCATAATTTTATGTCCAGATAAATTTGTGTACTAGTAAATTTCTTATTTCTTATATGACATTCAATTTTACCTCCTCAAGAGCTGTTTGCAAGAATCCCCATTTGTGAGACCATCTTCTTGCAGCATCTAGTTCATTTTCAATGCATTTTTTCCTGAAACAGGTATTTAAGATTACTTTGAAAGCTTTCATTAACCCCCCCCACCCACACACACGCAAACCCAACTACTAATGCTACAAAGCACAGCACTTTAGCATGACTCTTTAGACCCTTACCTCAAAACAGCAAGTTTATATATGAGTTAATAACTGCCTGACTCAGAGTTAATGGGGAAATATTTTCCATAGGTTGGAAATGAAATAGTTGGTGTGAATGCGCTTCCTTGCAAATCACAACTGCATGAGGAATTGGAGGAGGTAAGATTTGGTATGACTTATTTTTTGAAGAACTTGAGAAGTAAGCACCAATGTCCTCTCACACGGACTTCCCCCGTTACCGCTGCCTGATGAAATGACCCACTGTCCCTGCTCAGCCAGGCCCCACTTCCCACCCCTCACACCCCCTCGGAGGATGGCGGTGGCACTCCTTGCTGCACCTATGGTGCTCAGGGCCGAGCCACCTGAGGGTACTAAAAACCTCGGCCTTTTTGCAGGTGGCAGACTTCTGAATGAGCACATGCACTTTACAGACACACGCAAAGTAAAGATACGGACAAACTCCTTCAGTCTCTGCCCGCCTAAGAGCTGCCGGGGGGAGTCTGCCTTGGGTGGGAGGGGAAGGAGGTGGCCGGAGAGCAGCAATAGCGAAGGCCCGGGGCCGTTACCAGCAGTTGTCCAGCGCCACGAAGTTGCAGGGCTGCCCTGCCCGGTGCGCCCCTGCGCCATGGCGGCGGCCGGGGCTTGAGCGCAGGGCCGAGCCCTCGCGGCTGGGGCGTTGCTGGGCGACGGCAGCGGAGGCGCTGGCGGCCATTGCAAAAGAGCGGTGAGGGCAGGCTCGCGTGCTCCCTCAGGCGATGGTTCCCGTCGCCAGTGGCGCCTTCGCTTCTTTGTCCTTCAGCTGCGTCCCGCGCTGGCAGGGGACCCTCTCGGGAGGAAGGGTAAAAATGCCCGTTCTTTCTTTAGGTCCCTCAGTAAACCAGGGGGAAGTACATGTGATGTTGTAATTAATTTTTGGAGGTGCCTTGGAGTGTTTTGGTTTATTTATTATCTTTTTTTTAAGTGTTACACAGTAGGAGAACATGTTTGGATTAAGCTGATGAAAAGCTGTTACCATTCTTGAGGAGTCAGCCATAGTTCAGAAGAAGAGTTGTCTATAACTTGCCGATCAGCCATGCTTCCCATAGCAGAAAACAAGTAGTCATACACCTTTCTGGGTATGGAGCTGTTAAGAGTCTATTTTAAACCTGGGCAAGGGAGCTGTTCAACAGGCAAAAACTTGGAGTATTTTTAATTGTAATGGGCATTCAAAATGGTTGAAGAATACTGTTTTTGTGTTGGTTTATCACAGAATCACAGAATATTAGGAGTTGGAAGGGACCTCGAAAGCTCATCCAGTCCAACCCCTGCCAGAGCAGGATCACACAGACCAGGTCACACAGGAACGTGTCCAGGCGGGTTTTGAATGTCACCAGAGAAGGAGACTCCACAACCTCTCTGGGCAGCCTGGGCCATGCTCTGTCACCCTTACAGTAAACAAGTTTTTCCTTATGTTCACATGGAACCTCCTATGCTCCAGCTTGCACCCATTGCCCCTTGTCCTGTCATTGGCTGTCACTGAGAAGAGCCTGGATCCTTCCTCCTGACACTCGCCCTTTACAAATTTATAAACATGAATGAGGTCACCCCTCAGTCTCCTCTTCTCCAAGCTAAAGAGACCCAGCTCCCTCAGCCGCTCCTCATAAGGGAGATGCTCCACTCCCTCCATCATCTTTGTGGCCCTGCTGGACTCTTTCAAGCAATTCCCTGTCCTTCTTGAACTGAGGGGCCCAGAACTGGACACAATATTCCAGATGTGGTCTCAGCAGGGCAGAGTAGAGGAGGAGGAGAACCTCTCCCAACCTACAACCACAGCCCTTCTAATACACCCCAGGATGCCATTGGCCTTCCTGGCCATGAGGGCACATTGCTGGCTCACGGTCATCCTGCTGTCCACCAACACCCCCAGGTCCCTTTCTGCTGTGCTGCTCCCCAATGGGTCAGTCTCCAGCCTATACTGGTACATGGAGTTGTTCTTCCCCAGATGCAAGACCCTACACTTGCCCTTGTTGAATTACATTAAATTTCTTCCCACCCGACTCTCCAACCTGTCCAGGTCTCGCTGAATGGCAGCACAGCCTTCTGGAGTGTCAGCCACTCCTCCCAGTTTTGTGTCATCAGCAAACTTGCTGACAGTGCACTCTGTTCCCTCGTCCAGGTCGCTGATGAATAGATTGAATATATTGACCCCTTAGGGACCCCACTAGATACGGGCCTCCAACTGGACTCTGTCCCAGTGACCACAACTCTCTGTCTTCTTTCCTTCAACCAGTTCACAATCCATCTCACTACCTGATCATCTAGACCACAGTTCCTCAGTTTAGCTGTGAGGATGCTATGGGAGACGGTGTCAGATGCTTTACTGATAGACCACATCCACTGCCTTACCATCATCATAATTTATTTTTTTTTAAATTCTGATAAGAACCAGCTTGTTAATGTGTCCAAAGCTCAGACTGCACACTTTATGATAGGTGTTTGCTTCTGTGTCCTACTTTATTAACCTGCTATTTCCAGTTCCTAAGTCCTCTTGATATACACCAAAATCACCTTTTGGTAATTGTAGTGGAAAATAACACTGGTCTTGTGATATACAGTGTCTTGCTGGTCTCATTCTGGTAGATGTTGTTCTTTACAAACTAGATGCTAATATTAGAAGTTCTGAGAAAGACCTGAACTTTATGGGTTATATGTGAGAACCCCAAAAATATTTACAGCTTGTAAAAAGTTCGCTGTGTTCCAATATATTAATATTTTTGGCTCTCCATCAATTTTTTGGTAATTTTATTTTCTTGCAATTGCTTTATAAAACATTTCAACAATGAATATAGCCAGCTGGCTCGTTGCCCATATGGGTTTAAATTGTTCCCTGACCCCTTTCTTTTTGTCTGGAAACTGGCTTGTGCAAACGCACCATAAATAGTTAATGTGACTTTTTCACACCAGTGGACAGTTATTACGCTTATTATAAAATAAATGCAGAAAGGTTTTGACCTAAGCTGAGTGGTTTATGGGTAGTGTGTTAGAATGCTTAATTGCTAGCTTTTTATTTTTTTTAATTATTTTTTTAATATAGAGCAAAGGATCTAAAGGCCTTAAATATTTGAGTATGAGAAGACTGTGCATACATTTATTAATCTTTTTAGAAGTACTAAGAACCCCTCTTTGTGCAAGAGGAGAAAAAACCTCTTTCTGTAGTCCTAAAATAGCAATTAATACTGCTCTTCTGGGTCTTGAAAATCATTAAACTATCAACAAATAGAATATTTCACTTACATGCCATTTTTTGAGTCTCTAATTGATAATTAGACTAGCAATTAAATCAGCTGGGTCTCCTATCACACCCATAAATGCTTACTCATTGTCCTACTTAATTAACTCCTGCTGCTTAGTCACATTTATCTCAGGAGCCTTCTTAATACAGCCTTGATGCTTTCTGTGAAAAAAGTAATTTGTTAATGAAAACAATCAAATTCATAGTTTACTATGTGTCAGGATTTAAACTGCAGTAGCATTTATCAAGAGAGAAGGAAACTTCTTTTACTAACATTGAGAGAACAGGACTTAATAAAGTTCAGTCTTTCTCTTTTCGTACTTAACTGAATTATTTTCGAGATGGGAGAAAGCAGTAAATGAGTAGTTAGTTTTGGTCTTATTAGGTTATTAGGAGCACAGGACAATATTAGAATTGCACTTGCACTATGAGAAAAGAAGTGAAATAGGATTTTAATGAGCTAATAACTGTCCTGAATTACTTAGGGATATAGATCCATTGAGACTCGAAAGTCATTTGCTGGAAGTCTGGATCTTGCAGCTACAGACAGCAGCATTTGCCATCACATGACAAATGTTGAAGCAGATCCATCACTCAAGATACATGTTTAAATAGAATCAAGTCTGAATACTTGGTGCTTCCAAGCAACATTCAGATCTTCTAAGATAGGTAAATTCTGACCTGTATATGTCCATAAATGCCGAAACCCTAATGCTAATGCTTACTACCCTTTTCTGATTAGGAATTACCCCATTTTTCAGGTGCTCAGTAGTGCTGCTGTTGATCAAGTGGCTGACTCACAACTGGTTTTCAAGAATTTACAACCTGTATATAACTTGAGAGTTGCAAATTAGTATCCTGAGCTTCAGATGTCTTTTCACCTGCATACAGCATCACCCTACCGCTGAGGATGTAGTTTCAATCTTGGTTTTGTTACAGACCCTGTATTCCTTTCTCGCAGCAGATAGTGAAAGTGCTTGTGGTGCTATGTTCTGATTCCAGCTGGGGTACTGACATGGATTAAAACTAACCAAGTGGAAAACAAGATGCTTTAACTCAAATATAGTTTTCTGTGTAGCTGTACAAATGCTTCAACCAGCACATGATGGAGCAATGCATGAGGGTTTGGAGGAGGGCAGTGCTGGATGATAATGCTAGGTCCAAGTTTTTACAAAGTTACAGCCTTAGAACACTGTGTTGACACAAATACAGGTGGTTCTGCTCTGCGCAATAGGTCAGGGAACCAAACTGACTTAAACAGGCTCTGCAGAACGTCACATCACTGTTTTAATCTGTTTCACAGAACTGCTCTACAAGCAGTTGTGCTTCTGCAATCAAGGCAGCAGACAGAATGGAGACAGGAAAAGGTGATGTGTAAGCTGAAATGAACAACTCAGGGTAGGTGGATATCTTAAACTTCTACCGCTGCAAAACACTTTGTATAATGGCTTTGTTAATGTATTTTATGGTCTTCAGGATTTGGCTTAATTTTTGGTTTTTGAAATCTCATGTGTCTACCCTGATACAGAAATGTTAAGGCTTTCTATATTGCTTGTGTATGGAGAAAAGTGTCCAAACGAGAACACAGTAGCTTTCTGTGTGATACTTGAAATGATTTGAAAGGAACAAAGCTGTTGTCTTTTGGGCTCTGTATAAGTATTTTTAAGTGCTATTTGTGAGCATCTCCACTCACACTGAATACACTGAGATTTGATTATAGGTGATACTTCTGCTCAAGTGCTACAGATGCAGGTATAAAATACCTTGTGCTTTACAGTACTCTAAACCAGCTATTCTGTAATTTTCAGCTTCAGTTACAAGGCCAGACCTAGATCATGTTCCTATTTCCAGTGCTATGTTATCAACTACACAGGTTTTATTGCACTTAACATTCTTGCCAGTAGAGACTGGAGTTTTCTGCCTTTCATCAGAGAATTGGTAGGAAAATTGAAGAAAAGGTTCATTTTTTGTTGTAAAGGGTATTTTGAGTGTTTTTGTACTTTTCAGTTCTTAGGCCATAAACAGAAATTACTATTTTAAATTATTCATTACAGTATCACAATTAGATCTAAATCCTTGATCTCTTTATGAAGAGCTGTTGTTCAGGTTGGACATTTAACCACCCAGAAAAGAGACAGTTGAGAATCCTCATTCTGAGAAGTATGAGATGATGTAAAAAAACTATTGCTATTTTACTGCCCTGAGTTACATGCAAGGTGAGTGTGGGCAAAGCTGGCTTGGGGTGCTGCAGCACGTAATACTGTGGCTGGGCAGGACAGTCTCTGAGGCACTAATCTTCTTGACTGGACATGTAAGGATTGTCTCAGCTTTTGGTAGACTCAGGTGTGTAGCAGTGTAAAAGTGTTTGAGAGACTCTTCATCCAGCTCTGTCCTAATCCCAGGTTATAGCAGTGTACTTCATCATAAACTGTAGTTACTGT